GGGCAGAAACCTGCTTTTATTTCATTGTCCTGAAAGACGTAGGTTGCAGAAGTGCCCACACAGAGATCAACAGAGAGAACTTGCTCATTGGAGAGTAATCTGTGCAGCACATGACGCAACGCTTGGCGCTAATTAGCAAGCAGAAAGTATTGTGGAAATTTTCACAGTCTTCTATCAATGGTGTTTGCCTTAGATTGTGTAAACATTATTTCCTACCTCCTGATGGTAAAAATTTACATGGATTCAAACACAAAAAAAAGTTAAAAGAGAGAGGGGGAGAGGAAGACACTTGATAAGAAGCAGATGCATATCTATGGTTAGCTCTAAGGTAAGTTTTCTGCTTTCAGCTTACGATTACAGTTATCCAAAGCCTCCACAGACAGATTCCTGTCTTTTATCATGCAGGGAAGATCTTCAGATGCAGTTCCTGGTACTGTTTATCTGACCTTCGAAAATGACGAGGAAGGAAGAAGCAGCATTTAGAGCAGTGCCCAGCAAAATGATTCATGCGCCATTCAGTTACCCTGACAGGCCTTTCAAACCCTTGGCTGCATTTTGCTTATGTAAACAAGAGCTACAACTTAGGTGGAAATAAGCAGTGTGGTTGACATTTTGACATTCATACTTTTTAAACCCTCTTTGGCTAGGATCAGTATGGAATCCGAAAGAGCAGTATAATTCAGTGCAAAAGTAACTAGATTTTATTCTTTGAAATCCACATAATGTATATATTTCTGATTGTACAGCAAAAGAAAAGGCTTACTTGACTGTTTCTCGGTTTCTAAATTCAGCTGCAGCCTTTTGCCAACTTCTTGCAATACTGTTGTTCTGTCTCATTTCTCTGGGTCCCCTGTGGAGAGGCATGTTTCTGAAAGTGCATATTGCAGCCATGGGAATCCTGCGGGCAAATTGCAGGGCACCTTCAGTTCAGCCCTTCACTGGGAGAGAAGAAAGGGTGTATTGGTTCTCTCATATCTCTGCTTGTGAAAGTTGCTCCTAATGCATAAAAAGTATAACCCAGTCCAAAAAAATATAGATCTTGATAGACCTCATAAATTTTGGTAACAAAGGGGAAGAGCAAGATGTGGCTGGAGCACACCAGGAAGAAAAGCATTTTTCTGTAGCTCCAAGTTGCTACCTTGCCTGGGAGAAGAAGGTGTTGTGAGAGTCTTCTATATTTCTATGCCTTATGCTTACACCTAGGATGTTTCTGTTTAGCCAAAGACTGTCTTCTCAGACTCTGAATCAAAGACGATCACTCAAATTGAGAGCTGCATCCTGGAATCTGTAGCTGGACAGCAAGCTCATTACTTGCCAAACTTCACACCCCCTCATAGTGTGTTTTTGGTGGTGAAGCGTATGCGTTGTTGATCATGGCCATAGTTAAGAGTTGACCTGAAGGAGACTTAACTTCTAAGGCAAGAGCTCCTGAATTTAGCACCAGCTTTAATTCATTCCAGTGCCAGAAAAATATCCTGCTGGTGTGTTTGCCAAGGTATGTTTCTTCTGATGTATTTGCCAGGAGATGGTTCCCACTGGGCTTGATAGTCAAACAGTAGTGCAGTTAGCCTGGCTCGAAAAGCCTTCTTCTCAGGGCACTGTGTGCTGAAGGAGCAGGAGTTCGTGGTCCCTATTCTCTTGCCTCTATCTGTTAAATCAAATGCCAGAAAGTTCAGCTTGCAAACCTCCACTTCAGGATCCTCTTGGCCAATCACTGTGAACTTAGTCTCCACCTCTGGCTGGTCCCTCTGAAGTTCTTCCAACCTCCAAGCTTGGTAAGGGCCTGCTATGGTGTTTGCAAATTATTCCTGTTTGATCCACTCTTCAACTTTTCCAGACTATTAGAAAATAGACTTAAGAAAGATGAAACATGTTTCACATCCCTTAATCTGATTTCTGTTTTACTTGTTCTGTGATCTACAGCAGTACGTTACTTTGAATGTTGAGTGTTCATCTGCATGTTCTTACATATCTTTTAAAGGAAATGTATATTCAAGCATTTATTTCTACAGGTGCACACAGACACTGAGATTAGCATGGCTAGATTATAGGTGACCTTTTCTCCACTGATTTTAAAGGCACTTTAAACACCATACCTGAAATGTAAACATGAAGTGCAGCAAAAGTCTGCAAATACTCTTCTTTTGAGTTTTATTGCCTCTCCAGGTGCCTAAAAGAGTGATTTTCTGGCAATCTGGTGCTTTTTTTTCAAATTTCTGTCTCTTAAAAGCAAAACAAATCAAAACAAAAACTGCTTGAGAATGCTAAACAGCTTTTCAGTTGCACTTGCTACTAAAATTAAAGGTCCCTATAACTGACAGTAGCAGGGAGGTGCTGCTCGATGACGCTTCTTGGCAGGTTCTCTCTTTTTTCTGTTTTGTTTGGTTTTGGTTTTTTTTTAGCCATCACTAGTCTGCACTCTGGAGTTACCTGCAGCTGTTAAGCACTAGGGAAAAAAAGAGAAACCTATGGAACGAAACGCACTATACAGCCTACAAAGCTGCCGCTCTCCCAAGATCAGCTCCTCTTTCCTTCGCTTTCTATTCTTTCTGCTTCTACCA